TATTTCCAGGCTCTGTACATTTGGCATTAGGACTTGAGCATTTTTCTCCCACACACATTAATAAGCCTAGGTGATACCTCTGGGAATATGGCATTAATTGCCTCTCTTGCAACTTGGCAAACCTACAGGCCCCAAGAAAGTCTTAAAGGAATGCCTGATTAAGAGTAGCCAATATTTTGATCAGCAGATAGGACTAGGTGATGCATGTAAAAGATAAAGATGGAGAATGTCACTATCAGGATATTGTAGTCTTTGAACAGTAAACAGGGAACAGAAGCATTTGCTATTAACTACAGTGGCATTTAATCCTCCAGCCTCAAAAGAAGTCAAATCAGTGTCCACGTATGAGGAAAACCAGACAGCAAGGTCAATTTCTGGCCTGTTATCTTGTGGGCTTTGTTACTTGATCAGGAGCCTAGGATGTAATGTCAAATTGTCACAAATACTGACAAGCTAGAAAGGATTCAGGGGAGAGCTACAAAGATTTTAAAGGTTTATGCAAGGAAATAAAATAATCTGTTTAGCCTCTGTCGGTGGGGAGCGGATTGGTGTTAGTAGGAGAATGTGACTTTAAAAAATGGAAGGGAAAAAGAGCAATCAGTTTTAGAACTAGGAACATTTGGAAAAGATTGCAGTTAGCAAAGCTTTACATTGACATTTAGATGCTCTTGCAGAAGCTAAAATGGGATTTGGCACCTTCCCACTCCAATGTACAGGCTTTAAAGAGTGAAAGAAAATAAAATGAGAGGGTTGCTTAATAATTCCACCCCTTAAATAGAAATAAGTTTGCCCATTGATATCATTTAAACATTCTAGCAACTTGAAATTAGCATTGTCAGATGAAAAAACCTGTTTTTCATAATGAGATCAGATAACATTTAAGGCAAACTCTAGCCATTCTTAATGACCATATATACTAAATGTAAAAGGAGATATGCTTTCTTTGATTACATATGGGTCTGCAGTCCAGGCAAGTGAATCTTACAATCACTGTAAAGAGTGGATTATGATTTCCCAAATGCCAGTGGCACACAACCCGCTATTTCCATCCAACTGAGACATACATCTTCATGTGCATCATTATATCCAGGGCAGAAATTCCCCAAGGGCGACATAGTAGCTTGAATACAAAATCTGTCATAGTCATGATTTAGTGTCCATCTAGCCTAAGCTTGGGAAAATTGCTATTTTCAGACACCTAGAATGTCTCATTTATGATATTGGATGGGTGTTCCTGATAACCATGCCCCCAAAACATAACATTTAGAAATTCCGATCTAGCCCAACGTTATCTAATCCAGTGATTCCCAAAATTTAGTCATCTGGGGTCTTGGACTTAACTTCAGAAGTCTCAGCTACCCTGGCCAATGATCAGGGATTCTAGGAGAAGTCCAAAAGTCCTGGATGACCAGAGTTTAGAATGCTGATCTAATTTAATTGACAGCTATTTTCCAGGGTCTTGGATACAGGATTTCCCCATTACTTGATTCTTTTAACTGGAGATGACAAGGATTCAACCTGTAGCATTTTCACCCAACAATGTGCTCTGTCAAATCAAATAATTTCTTTCAGTCATAGACCAGCAGAGGAAATAAAAGCCACAGTTTCATATGAACTTAGTATGCTTAGTACATTTAAAATGTAAATATAAATACTGTGCTCTGTCATTATACCCCACAACACATCCCATTTACATGGATTCAGTGGGACTCTGAGAAGACTATAAACTGGGTAATCTCTGCTAAAATATTGTTCTGGCTCTGAATGCAGGGAAGAAGCTTTTCGCAAACCTCTGTCTCTAAATCTCATCCTCCCCTCCTTCTTCAAAATGGGACTAACAGTATACAGTATATCCCAACTACCATGCAGAGCTATTGTCATGGTTGTTGATATAATGGATGTGAAGCATTTTCAATGCTGTAAAGTGCTATATGAATACTAATTACTATTACTCTCACTGTCCATTCTGGGTTTTTTAGCAGACACACAAAGAAGTGCTGGTGTTTCTATAATCTCCCTGCTTAACAGAGAAGCAGCATCCTTTCTCTGAATAGATTTCAATTAAATTAGAGAGTCCTATTAATTTTACTGAGTCAGTGTAACTCAATTTGCAAATCCTGCTAACTAGAGCTTGATGGAAGGGATAGCATCTTTCCTTTCGGCACGTCAAAGGAAGCAAACAGCTGTTTGGGGGGAAAAACATGATGACTTGTGTGTGTCTATTTTCCAGTAGCAACCTGTTTCACCAAGGCTCTTGTTTAATGTCCATTCCAGCCTGTTTCATTTTGATTTGCCATCTTAAATTTTCATATAATATCAAACCATAAATCTGGAATCTAACTGAAGTTTTTTCACTAAGCTTTACATAGGCAAGAAAGCCAGAAAGGTTAAGCTAAAAATTCCAGAGGAAATATGATAGATTGTTTGATATTTCTTGTGTAAGATTGTCAAGGTAAAATAACCTTATCAAACCTGGATCCTGTTAATATTTGCACTTTCCCCAAGTTTGTCCAGTGGAGATGGGAGAAGGCTAATGTTGGTAGAGTCCCTAGTTATGTCAGTGATAATACCTTCTCCGATGTTGCAGGAGACACCCTGTACCTCCTGCAATATCTTTGTCCTGAATCATAGATTCAGAGAGTTGGAAGAGACCACATGGGCCATTTAATCCAATCCACTGCCATGCAGTAAAAGCACAATTAAAGTACCCTTGACAGATGGCCATCCAGCCTCTTTTTAAAGGAGCCTCCACCACACTCTAAGGCAGAGAGCTCTTACTGCTGAACATCTCTTATAGTCAGAAAGTTCTTCCTAATTTATAGTCAAAGGCTTTCATGACTGGAATCACTGGGTTGTTGTAGGTTTTTCAGTTCAGACCTCACAACCTCTGAGGATGCCTACATAGATGCAGGCAAAACATCAGGAGAGAATGCTTCTAGAACATGTGCATACAGCCCGAAAAACCTACAATTCAGTTCTTCCTAATGTTCAGTTGGAATCTCCTTTCCTGTAATTTGAACCCATTACTCCCAGCCCTGGTTTCCAGGGAAGCAGAAAACAAGTCCGTTCCCTCTTCTTTATGACATCTTTTCACATATTTATACATGGCTATAATGTCTCCTCTCAACCTTCTCTTCTGCAGGCTAAACATATCCAGCTCTTTAAGGTGCTCCCCATAGGATATGGTGTCCAGACCTCTGATCATTCTAGTCAACCTCCTCTGGACACCTTCCAGCTTGTCAATATCTCTTTTAAACTGTGGTGCCCGGAATTGGACAAAGTATTCCAGTTGAGGTCTAACCAAAGCCTTAGTGTAGTATTTTACATTTGTCCTTGTTGAAATTCATTTTGTTAGTTTTGGCCAAGCTCTCTAATCTGTTAATGTCATTTTGAATTCTGTCCTCTGGAGTATTAGCTATCCCACTGGAGTATTAGCTAAGTATAGGGCAGATCTTTAGCACAGCTCAATCCCTGGCCCCTCTTTCCCTTGGAAAGCATGGATGTTCCATAGCCAAAGCAGATTAAAAGGCCTTGCTTTTGTATGAAAGGAGTCAAAAGATGTTCCTTCTTCACTAGCAGTGGGGAATGCAGTCTGGAACATGTGCTGCAGGAAGTATTGCAAGGGAGGTGCATAGCTTTGATGGCTTCCAGTGGAATGAGACCAGAAATGTTTGCAACTGGGGCAATGCCTCATGTCAATACCTGGGGGGGGGGGGGCTGCTATATAAGGCCTGACAACCCAAAGACCCTTAGGGCATATCTGGCATTTTAATCTCAATTGTCCTCCATCTTTGATGGAAGCATCTGAATTTACCTTCAACAGCCAAGACTAGTCAAGGAGCAACCCAATTACTGGACTGCCCTCAGGGTGAGTGATTTCACCCAAAGGAAAGATGAGGAGGTAGTCAAGGGTTGACACCTGACCTCTGTGGAGACTCTTCAAGCTGCTTCTCCTCTTGCTTATTTCAGAATTATCAAAATGCAAATAGGTTGGTAAATTGGCCCTTATTTAACCCATATTTTAATGCCTGATCTTGTTATTCCATAATGGTTTATCAAAAGGCCATTGTACAGAGAAGGAAGAGCATCTTTCAACCCCAGGACCACCTGTGTAAGAACTATGGTGGAACTGTTTGCTTTGCCACAGTTTGAATAGGTTGTGTCCATCATTGGTCAGATCTGAACACTTTGTTCCTTCATTGCTTTAATTTCTTCACAGTAACTGTATTTGCAGCTATTTTTCCTATTGCTGCTACAGACCAGGATAGTATTACTTGGAGGGTGGGGGTAGAGATCCTTGTGTTATCTTAGCACTAGCCAGGTTTCTTTGGCACATGTTTTCATGGACTACCACCCATCATCCAACACTTGATGAAACATATGTCAAATGAAACCTGTTAGCCTTTAGCTCTTCTGTATTTATTTGGCTTCCACAAGGATAGAGCAATATGGAAGCAATAGATGTTATTGAACATATTCTTTGCTAATTTCATCCTAGAAAGAAGTAACAAGTAATGTTAGCCATCTGCTTTCTTCTCCTTATTCACACTTGGGGGTTTATTCTGTAAGGGGGGAATCTGCACCAAAACAGAATATTCTGCACAAATGCTAAGTATGTACTAAAAGACTTGAACAGAAAATATTTTTTCCTGTTTTGGGATTTGTTTAAGATTACATCTCGAACAGAACAACAGTACTTTCCATGTAAAATGTTTCCCAACAACTTTTTCCCTTGTGAAATTCTAAGTGAATTTAATTTAGCAAAATCAACACACCTTTACCTGATGCTGATGTCTGAAATTATTGTTAGTTGAATTGATCTGGCTCATGGTCATGATTGTGTTGTTATGATAATATATCATAAAGCAAAGTATGAAAATATAGCTGAGTAGCAGCAGCACATGCTGGTCAAATAAATAATCCTAATTTCCATCTTCTGTAACTTGTAGTAAAAATCTTAGGCAGCAAGATGCAGAAAAAAGAAGCCAGCGAGGATGATATGGATCTGGAAGGTGTCATTTATTTGAATATATATGTAACACTCATTAAAAGTAAAAGCAGAAATGAAGTGAGCTATGCTCAGTGCAAAGGCCTTTATTTTTCACAACAGATCTCAAGTTCAAAGGGATTGGCATCAAATCAGAGACTTTCCAAGCTGGCTGCAGCTGAGCTTGCTTTCTTCTTGCCTTTCTTGTTTGCTTTTGTCAACATCCCCAGTTGACGGAGGCAGAAATAAGCACCAAGGAAAGCAGGACATTATGTACATGCATGGATGTATGAGCAAGGGCGGGTGGGTGCATATGCATGCCTACTCTAAATCTATTGTGTGGCAAACTTTCCTTAGAGCATTGAAGAGTCTCCAGAGCATTGTTTCACTTGCCAACACTGTATTTCTGTCAAGGCACAATCAATGTTTTACTTATTATTTTACAAAACATCAGAGGAGAGGTATTATTATAAGCCCTTTGTTCTACTTGACAGTTTTCACAGGTTCTCAGAATTTAAGTAATTTGTTGTCTGGCCTGAAGTTCATTTTCTTCCTCCCTTTCCTTTTTCCTATTTTCCCCCTCGCATCCTGTGTTTATCTTATTGTGGCTGATTTTCACAGTATATGAGATGTTCCGAGTGAATAGCCAAAGACAAGGTTTTTTTTTTAGCAAGGAAGACTTATTTTTCTTTTTCCCTTTTTTTCTTTTCTTTCTTGAGAAAAAAAATCCATGTATCTATATCAGCAACAACACATTTACACACACACTGTACTTTCTGAAGACAAAAACAGGGATGGATCCAGATGTTAAAAACTACCACTGCAGTCTTAAGCTTTGGCTGTGAAGGCTTTGGAAGCAAAGGGGAAGGCAAATCATACCATTTGTCCCAGATCAATGTATAAATATAAAACTGTAGATACCAAATGGAAGACTTTTGGGAAATTGCTGTCCAAATGAAGCATACTAAAAGGATTACAATTTTGGTCTACTTCTGAGTTAATGCTGAAACAAAAAGAACCCCCAATGAAGGGGAATGCTCCCTGCTATTGGATGAGGGTGCAGCATTACTGTACCACTGTGGCAGATCATCCATTAGTATACCAATTCTCTCCCTTTAATCTCACCTCCATTTCCACATTTTGGTTACTGTGACATCTGGCAGCCAACATACCAGTTGCAACATGCTGACTTTAGCAGGTGTTACTTATTCCAGAGTTGTGTTGCAGAAATCTGACAAACAGCTGTTGTTGCACAGGAGCCCTGCTAGAAAAGAAGAGGGGAAAAGGTGGCATTTCTTGGAGAGATAGGTAGCACGGACAAAACCACTAAAAATGAAGGTGGAAGTAGAAGTAGATATGCACCCTTAGATCTGTCTATATTTATAGCTATTTTACATGCACATTTTCACCACTGGAAAATATTTTTTTAGTTATGAAAAAGAAAAATGTAAGACAATTTTTTTCATGAATGTACTATTTTATAGAATAATGTTCTGCTATTCTAAATTAATATCATTCTCTCCCTCCCTACATCTCTTGCCTCTTCCACACTGCCCCTATATCCCAGGATCTGATCCCAGATTATCTGCTTATCCTGGATTATCTGGCAGTGGGGACTCGTATAATTTGGTTTAAAGAAAATAATCTGGGATCAGATCCTGGGATATAAGGCAGTGTAGAATGGGCCTCCCTCTTACACAAACCCAAAGCTGGATATCCCTTTGAACAGTATTGTTTTGTACCCAAGAGGGGAGAAATGCACATGAAATCTGCCCTTTCCCTATGATGGTGCTGCTAGAAATATGAGTCACCCATAAATTAGAGAGCAGTAAATATATCTGCTGACACCTAATAAACAAAACCAGAGTGAAGTCCCAGTGCTTTATGGTGTCACCAGAAATCCCTTGATGTATTTATGGCCTGCCTCACACTGTTCGTTTTAATTTTTTAATATATAAACATTCTTGTATTGGCCCTGTACAGAGTAGCTGTTAAAAACAGATACCATTTCCCTATTTTCTGTGGCTCATGTGCCATTTTGTAGGCCATAAGGCCAGGAGATTTAAAGAAAATGATGTATAATTAAAATGGTTTGTACTTCTCTTGATGCTCTGAGTAATTTCGGGGGTATAGTATAAGCATCTATAGAAAGGTGCATACCCCCTGCTTTTCCTTTTATTTCAATAATAGGAAGGATGGGGAACACGTTGCCATCCCAGCATTTCTCACCATGGGTTATACTGGTTAGAAGTAAGGCAACCAGACTGAAAATTGGAAAGGGTTCCTCCCTTTACCTTTATGGCTGGAAAACAGAAGGAATTTTATCATGTGTTACTTGTTACCTGTTTCTTACCATGCTAAAGTTCCTTCTTTTACACAGCTACTGAAGGTATATGAGCTTACTCCAGTTTTCACTTTGCAACCCCATCTAAAGTTGATAAAACTTGTAGTTCAAGAGCATCTACAATGGTGTGTATTTAGAGGGGGAATTAGAATGAGAGAACATCACACTCCAATAAGAATTTTGTCAACCAAAACAATTTTTCTTTCAATCCACAAATTTTAGCATAACAGTAATTTACAATTTCAATAGAATACTGAGAAATGTTGACTGCTGGCTACTTACATCTTTGTAAATAGACATACATCTGCAGGAATTACTGTATTTCTTCAATTAGAAGATATGTTTTCCCCCCATATAAACATCCTGAAAAATGAGGTGCATCTTATAATCACAAGTGCTTGTTTACACCATACAGCTTCTTCTATTGGTGGTATTGAAATTAGTGTGCATCTTGCAATCAGTGACATCTTAGAATAGAAGAAATATGGTAGAATTATGCAGCTGGATAATGTTCATATCCAGCTGGGCGTTTCTAATAAATTACTATGTAGCAGAGCCAGCAAAGCGCCTGATACACAACAGATCCAATGCGCCACAAAACCAATGTGCATTGCCCCGGATGTACATTGCATTTGGACTGAGGCACATCAGTGATCACATACCCTTGCTGGTGTCTGGTTACACACTCTTATAATTCAGTAAAGGAGTTTCTTGGGGCCCTTTAACACTGCCACTTTATCCCAGGACCTGATTATCTGTTTAACTGACAGTGGAAAGTCATATATTCCAGTTTAAAGCAGATAATCTGGGATCAGATCCTGGGATAAAGGGCAGTGTGGAAAGACCTTTAAGGCCTCTGCTATATTGTGTGTGTGTGTGTGTGTGTAAAGTTACACAATGTAACAGGTACTATAAGATTCCAGTGAGAGTTTAGATATACAAGGAAAAGGGGAAAAGTTACCAAGGGAACATGAAAAAAGCAAATATAAGAACTCTTGATGTGAATTATTTAAAAGGGCTCCTTCTCACTCTCTGCAGTGCTAGAAATTTGGGAAAATAAAATAAAATGGGTATACAATTTCCCCAACTTGTCCCAAAGCTGTTTAAACCCTGGAAAACCCACAATACTTACTGGAATTGGTTGAGTGTTGTGGAGACAGCTAGAAGTCAATTTAGAGTGAGTCTGGTATTTCTTGCCTTCGTAAACTCATACCCAAAGTCTTAGTCCAGCATCCAAATTATTCAAACTATTATACCACGATGTCTCTCTGGACAACAGAAAGAAAGAATTAACCATGGAGAAATACTATGTCTCCAAACATTTAAATACCCACTTCAACACTCAAATCATTATATTATGTTAGCTCACCCCACATGTACTCAGTTACATACTGTATATTTAGGATTTTGCATTACCTCCGAATTTCTCTAGGAGTCCCTTAGAGAGAGACAAAGTCACTGTCTCTCACAGGGAGCCCTTCTATATAAGAAAAGCCTCCCAGTGTCTATGTTAAATTATATTGAGAACATTGATTTAATTCTAGGGAAGTACAGAGTGAAAGAGACAAAATGATAAAAGACTGTCTAGGGATTATGATTTGTTCAACCAAATTCATCTCACATCATTCCAAGGCTGCAATTTTATATGAATGCTTACCTGGGAGTTGGTTCCATTGAATATAATGGAGCTTATTTCTAAGACAGCATGTATAGGATGATACTGTATGCCACCAAAATACAGCATTAAAACTACAGGAGTGTTCTTTTAAATACCTACATTAACACCACCCTTATATATGCCTGATTTTGGGAAAACAAGCAGGCTCAAGCCAGGTTAATACCAGAAATATCCTAGTTAGACTACAAAGGATTCCTTCCTTAAACATTGTGGAGCTGCTGCAAATATATTCTCGATACTGAATTTGTATACAGCCAAATTACAGGACTAGATTACAATTTACAAACAAGGCAGGCTTAAGTCTGTTATTGTTTAGTCTTATATTATCTCAGTATGAAGCATGGTAATGCGTTTGCTTTCAGCACACCTTTGGGAATACAATCTAAATAAATGCAGATACTAAAATAACCTTCCCTTTCATTATGGGCAGGAATAGTTGGAATGCAATGCAGGTGGAGAATACAGGGCCATGAAAATAAGCCAAATCTTATGCACACGTAGTTATGAGCAAGCCCCTGAAATGAACGGCTAGGGTCAGAACTGCATTACACATCTTTCTATTTTTCTAAACATAGGTGGCAAGCAAGGTCTAATGGCCAGATTTTTATCTATAGATGGAGTGAAAGATATTGTGATCCAGCTGGGAGACCATGTGGTAAGCTAGGATATTGACCTAGGACTTGAGGAATTCAAGTTTACTATGCCAATGAACTCATTTGGGTCAACTGTTCTCTCTCATACTAATCTTTCTGGGTTGTTGTGAGGTTAAGGAAGCTGTCTTTTGTTTTTTGAAGAATTTGTTTCCATTGGCTTTAATGTTCTAACTGTCTAACACTAACTTTTGGCAAATTCTCACTTGGCATGTGCTTTTAAGAGAACCAGCATGATGTAATGGTTTGAGCATTGCACTATGCCCCAAACTATCCCCACTCAGCCATGGAACCCACTGGTTGATCTTGGAGCAGCCAAGAAAATCTTTCTCGGTACAAAGCTTGTCAAGAAAACCCCAATAGGTTTGCCTTAGGGTTATCAAAAGTAAGAAAAGACTTGAAGGAACACAACAACAACCACCACTATTTGATTTATTCATCTTTTCTTTAAGTTGCCCTAGGTTCTAATTTTGGAGAGGAAGGTGGAATATAAATGAAATTTACTTATTTATTTATCGTGTCAGAAGGAAATTGGGAATGCATTTATAATGTATTTTGAAAAAGACCCACAAAGTTAAAGACTTGCCATTGTGCTAAATTTCCCTTGACCAGAAGCTGGTCACTTGGAGTGCCTCTGGAGTGGCTGTAAGAAGGTCCTCCATTGTGCTTGTGGCAGTGCTCAGACTGCCTTGTAGTAGATGATCTGTTTTTTGCTCTTCTCCACACTCAAATGTTGTGGACTCTACTTTTCTGGACTCTACCAGAAAAGCAATTTTGTCTAAACCTGTGGTTTTAAACCTGTGAGTCCCCTGATTTTTTTTTTTTTTTTGCCTTCAACTCCCAGAAATCCTAACAGTTGGTTAACTGACTGGGATTTCTGGGATTTCTGGAAGTTGTAGGCCAAAATACCTGGGGACCCACAGGTTGAGAACCACTGGTCTAAACATTACGATGAACTTTCTGATGATATGAGGTACTCACAGATTGCCATAGATAGCAGAGGTTGGAGGGCTTTAAGAAGGGATTGGATGAGCTTCTGTATTCAGAGACTTGGAGTAGGTGGCCATTGTGGTCCCTTCCAGTACTCTTGATTTCAAAGTGAGAAATTTCAAACTGTATTTGTTTTTCTATTGAGGAGCTGCTCTATCCCCTCAATAACTTTCACAATCATTTTTTTCCACTCTCAATGCAACTTCTATAAGGAACCAACACATTGACCCAGGGGGCAACAGAAGGAAAGTCAGCTGGAGCTACTTCCTCTGTCTCTTTATGTCCTAAGAAAGTGAATGTTTCATATCATTAATGCTTACTGCTCTCACAAATATTAAAAGGCGCAATGTGTCTACTAGAAAGAGATAGAAGAACTTGTAGACATGGTTTTAAGTATCCTGTCCTAAAAGGTGGGGCCAAGCTTCTATTTCCTGTACTAACAACCACACAATGCCCACCATTTGAAATAAGTACAGTGTTGGCCCTACCATTAGAAAAACATGGAAGTCATGAAAGTGTTCCACATTCTTAATTATTTAATTGATGATAATAGTGGAGATTTTACTGTAGGGTACTATGTACTTGATGCCAAAGTCATCTGAAGGCACCAGTTCCCATCTGATCCTGGAAGCTAAATAGGGCCAGCCCTTGTTGGAACTTAAATGGAAGACCTCCAAGAATACCAGATATTACAGGCTGTATTTCAGAGGAAGGTAACGACAAACCATCACACAGTTTCCATGCCTAAGAAGATTATTTGAAATCCATGGATGAGGTCATCCTAAGTTGACAGGTGTATTGAAGGCATGCATATACATTCTTGGCTGAGTGGGTGACACCAATTCCTGCTCAGCCCCAGGAAGCAAATGGTCTTAGGTTGGCATTGAAAAAGTGATTACCCATCTTTCTTTACTTGTTTTCTTCTTCCTCATATTGCACTGCAATGAGCTACCTTGAAGTCCCAGTGTGTTCGGGATGGGCGTTTTACCCTCCTCATTGTACAATTGTTAGCTTGCCTTTTCCATACTTCCAAAATTCTCTTTGCTGCAAAGTGCCACAGGCGAGATCAGGTTGAATCTCCCCATTTTAAAACCTTCTGTTTGTAGCAGCCCAACCCACACTGATGGGGCTTACACAATGCTTTGTCAAAGGCTTTCATGGCCAGAATCATTGGGTTGCTGTGAATTTTCCAGGCTGTATGGCCATGTTCCAGATGCATTATCTCCTGATGATGGGGCAAAAACGTCAGGAGAGAATGCTTCTGGAACATGGCCATATCGCCCGGAAAACTCACAGTAACCCAGTTCTCCAATACTGTTGCACATTAATGCCAAACATATTGAAGAGAAGTGGGATTTTAAAAAATCCCCCAAAACCAAACTTCTCCACATTCTGAATCAAACATTCATATACTGAGATACTCCAAATTGCTCGTATGATATGCTTGAAAGAAGCAGCATTCTTTTTAACCCCATATCTCCCAATTCCTCTTCTCTCTCAGCATACACACACACACTCACTCACACATATATATGTTTTCCTGCTTTTAGCTTGGTCTCCTACCTGAAATAAAGATGTTTCTTTCCCTTTGGGGCTGGCAACCATAAAACTGTAATTACATTACAGAGAGTTCTTCACAGAGGGGTTGTGATGGGACTGGAATGCAGCCAAAATGCCCCATGGGGTTTCCAGGGTGGTAGATCAGTTTGTTTTCTTATATGTGCTTCAGTGGGGAAAAGGTGTCTTCACAGTTTTCCATCCTAAAACCAGGATTTCCATTATATTTGTGGAACAGAGAGGAGAGATTTCAGCTAGCTAACACTTTGTGTGTGAAGGTACAAAAACTGATCGACACCAGCAAAACTCCATAATATATCTGTCCATATATGCACAAAGACACACACATATATGACACTATGTATGAAAGAGCTTTCTTTTCCTATTCTCAATTAAAAACAAAGAAACGGTGTGGTCCAAAGGAGGGAAGAAGAATCCAAGACAAGAAATGCATTTTATTAGGACCACCAAAGTAAGACACTAAAAGAACAAAGACATATCTTTGCTGGTACTAATAAAAACTGTTTCACATCCATTTTTATAAGAAATCATTATATCCTTAACATACCCATTTTGTAGATGGTAATGCATGGAGGATGAGGTGTCAAATCCATTTGAAATTAGACTGAACTACAGTATAGCAAATACCCTCTTATATCAGTATTCCAAAAAGACCACATGAAAAGGGAGGAAGGGGAGAGAGAATGTATGTATTAGTGGTGGAGAATTACTTACCACAGATAGATTTTAAAACCATGTATTTATCATCATGGGCAATCCTAATTTACAATTATAATTTGAAAGGCACTTGCCACTGTTCTATATATTTATTTATTTATTTATTTACTCCGTTTGTATACCGCATTTATCAGCCTGAGGCGGCGACTCAATGCAGTTTACAATAAAAATAAGCAACACTGACAATATATAAGACACACGTACACAAACAACACACATATAGTCATCAACGCCTCAATTAGAGTCAGATCCCGTTCTCACAGTCCTTTTTCGTTCCTTGTTCAAATGCCGTCTTACTGAGTTAGTTGTTATTGCATAGTTATCCGAATGCCTGCTCATAGAGCCACGTCTTAACCCTCCTCCGAAACACCAGCAACGAAGGGGCCTGCCTGATGTCCACTGGTAGGGCATTCCATAGCCGAGGGGCCACCACCGAGAAGGCCCTGTCTCTCGTCCCCGCCAACCTCACTTGTGACGCTGGCGGAACCGAGAGCAGGGCCTCCCCGGACGATCTTAATGTCCTCACCGGTTCATAGGTGGAGATGCGTTCGGAGAGGTAAGTGGGGCCGGAACCGTGTAGGGCTTTATAGGCTAAAGCCAGCACCTTGAATTGTGCCCGGTAGCAAATTGGCAGCCAGTGGAGCTGGCTCAACAGAGGAGTGGTGTGCTCCCTGAGTGCCGCTCCCGTTAGCAACCTGGCTGCCGAGCGCTGGACCATCTGAAGCTTCCGGGCAGTCTTCAAGGGCAACCCCACGTAGAGCGCGTTGCAGTAATCTATGCGGGATGTGACAAGAGCGTGGACTACCGTGGCCAAGTCCGACTTCCCAAGATACGGGCGCAGCTGGCGCACGAGCCGAAGCTGTGCAAATGCTCCTCTGGTCACCGCTGAAGCCTGGGGTTCCAGGCTCAGCTATGAGTCCAAGATCACAACCAAGCTGCGAACCTGCGTCTTCAGGGGGAGTGTGACTCGTCCAACACAGGCTGTAACCCTATACCCTGTTCGGCCTTCCGACTGACCAGGAGTACCTCTGTCTTGTCTGGATTGAGTTTCAATTTGTTCACCCTCATCCAGTCCGACACAGCGGCCAAGCACCGGTTCAGGACCTGGACAGCCTCCTTAGTAGTAGGTGGAAAGGAGTGACAGAGTTTCCTGAGTCAACGCAGCATCACTCCTCAAGGAGGGAGAGAAAGGTGTGTGGGAATGGGAGGCAGAGCAGAGATAAGGTGTCAAATCCACCTGAAATTAGCCTGACGCAGGATGTAGCGATATAGCAATCGTCCCCTTGTACTGTTATTCCAAGAAACCCACATGAAAAAGGAGAAAGGGCAGTGTAGGTGGAAAAGTCTGTTGGAATTTGTTTAAACTGCATTTTTTCTCATCATAGATTATCCTAATTTATGACAATAATTCCAAAGCCAGAGGTTCAACCACCTTACCTGTATGTCTAAACTCCCTGCATCAAAGCAGAATAGCGAGAAAGCTGTTTGTGAGGTGGTGCCAAAGTGCTAAAGCTACTGGAAATTAGACTAAGGCTGAATATAACAAATATTGGCTTATTTCAAGAAATAATAATAATAATTTCAAAGGCTTTCATGGCCGGAATCACTGGGTGGTTGTGAGTTTTTCAGGCTGTATGGCCATGTTCCAGAAGCATTCTCTCCTGATGTTTTGCCTGCATCTATGGCAGGCATCCTCAGAGGATGCAGGTGAAACGTCAGGAGAGAATGCTTCTGGAACATGGCCATACAGCCCAGAAAACTCACAAAAACACAAAAATAATTATAATCATTTATTTCTAGACTGCCCCCTCTGCCCATAGGGAATTGGGGTGGTTTACATACATATAAAACAGGCACATGCTAAAAGTCACACAAGTGAAAGGGGAATCAGAATTATAGAGTTGGAAGAGATCTCATGGGCCCTCCAATCCAACCCCCTGCAAGTAGCAGGAAAATCACATTCAAAGTACCCCTACTGATGGCCATTCAGCTTCTGCTTAGAAGCCTCCAAAGAAGGAACCTCCACCACACTCAAGAGCAGAGAGTTCCCCTGCTGAACAGTTCTTCCTAATGTTCAGGTGGAATCTCCTTCCCTGTAGTTTGAAGAGACTGTTCTGCATCCTAGTCTCCAGGGTGGCAGAAAACAAGCTTGCTCCCTCCTCCCTATGACTCCCCCTCATAGTATAAAGGGAGAATTTTCTGCCAGGCTGTTGTATTGAACTCAGAAACCTCTGAGGATGCCTGCCATAGATGCAGGCAAAACGTCATGAGAGAATGCTTCTGGGACATGGTCATACAGTCTGAAATTTGCTACAATCCTAATTTACTACAATCATTCTAAAGAAAGGTGTTTGATTACCTGCCTTGTCAGTTTGTATCTATCTATCCAAGATCCTAGTCTAAGCAGAGAGTGGAGGTGTAAGCTCTATTGAAATTATGTAGATACCCTACTCTGCTGTATAGTTATTTCAAGAAATCCACATGAAAAGGAAGAAGGGGGGAGGGAGTGCAGGTGGGGAATTTTCTGTGCAACCCTTAACCCTGTATTGATTAGCCCAGAGCATCCTAATTTGCCACCCCAATTCCAAAGGCAGGGGTTGGACTACCTGTCCTGCCGTTCTCCGTATCTCTGAGCCCAAGCAGAGCGTGGCCAGGGCCAGCCAGGTGTGGAGGAGGGCGAGGCTTGGTGAAGATAGACGCTACCTCTGAATGGAGGGGGGGGTGTCTTTGGTTCCCCTTTCGGCCCCTCCTCTTTTTTTCCCCGGGAACCAGCCAGTCCCTCTGCAGGGTGTTTCGGCGGCGCTGATTGGCCCGCTGGAGCGACCCTATTTGCATACGGCTCGCCCATTTGTGAATTGGGCTCCCTGGGCTCGCGCTCGCCTTCACCTGGGCTTCTTCCGAGCGGCCTTGGCTTCAGCAAGGAAGGAGGGGAAGGGAGGGGAAGGGAAGGGAGGGGGAGGAGGAGGAGGAAGAGAAAGGGGAAGCGGAAGATCAATTTCTCTCTCGTGGGCTCTGGACTTTCCTCCCTCCCTCCCTCTCTTTCTCTCATCCTCACTCACTCACTCTTACCTTCTCAAGTCTCCTCTTCAGTTTCCCGGGGAAGATTTGGGCCAGCCATCTCTCGCTCTCTCTCTCTTCCCTATTGGGGCAGCTCTTGGATCCGAAGAAGAGGCCACCTCGCGTGGGTGTTTCCGCGCGTGGATGGGCTCGGCGGCGCGTGTGTAGGTGCCAAAGGGAGGGGGCCACCTACACTGCAAGAGGAATCCGGCGACTCCGACCCGACCCGCTTGGAATTGGGATCAAAGCAAGCACACACACAAGAGAGAGGAACACAAGCCTTCCGCTCAAAGTGAGAGGCAAAGGGGAATCCTGGAGGATCCGAGGAGCCCGGCAAGAGGCAGCGCAGAGGGATCCTCCGCTCGGGATGCGTGGCTCCGCTGATCTCTCCCGGAACGTCTGAAAGGATCCAAAGAAGAAGGAGGAAGTGTTGGGGAGGAGGAGGAGGTGGGGAAGGGGGGCAAGAGGACCGGCCCTGGGAGGCTCCAACCTCGCTTTGCTGACTCGCCTTCTCGCGTGGGTCGGAGGCTTAACCCTTCCCTCGCCCGCTCGGGGCAGAGCGACCCACTCCCACTCGGGAAGCGCCTCTTTCTCTGCAGAGGAGGAGGATGGGGACCTGGGCATCATGAGCCGCCCGCTTGCGCCTCTCTTTCCCCGGCTGGAGCTGGACCAGCCCGGACCGTAGCTTTGCCCTCCTTCTTCTCTTCTTCTTCTTCTGGTGTTTCCCCCTTTTCCTTTCCGGGCTCCGGACCATGCATTGCGTGGCTCTGCGAACCGCCGCCGGGCCGCGAGGCTGTCCCGCGTGGACCCTGTGGATGTGCTCCCTCTTTGGGGGATGGATCGTCAGCGCCGGGTGGAGCTCCTCGGGCGCGGCGGAGTCCTCCTCCTCCTCGTCGTCGTCGTCCGCCTCGCAGCCCGCGCCGCCCGAGCACCATTTCCATGGCAGCGGCGCCAGCGGGAAGCACCACTCCGCGCCCATCTCCATCTACCGCTCCCCGGTCTCCCTGCGCGGAGGACACGGTGGGTCCCTCCTCCTCCTCCTCTTCCTCCTGCTGATGGGAGGCCGGGCGCGCGCTCCCTTTCCCCCAGGTCTCGCCTCTCAAGCAGGGGAAGAAACTTTCCCAGCCGCCCGGCAAGGAGGACTTCCCCGCTACGCGGTTTGGGGCCGGCGGCTGGGAAGGGGCCAGGCCAGCCTCGCGCTTCCTCTGGGGCTGGGAAGGAAGGAAGGAAGGAAGGAAGGAAGGAAGGAAGGAAGGAGGAAGGAAGGAAGGAAGGAAGGAAGGAAGGAAGGAAGGAAGGAAGGAAGGAAGGAGTGTCAGGCAGTGCTTTGAGGAAAAGGTGCACATCCACCTGAAAGTAGACTGAAGGAGGAAAGGAGGGAGAGAGAAGGGAAAGGAAAGGAGTGGGAAGAGGCCAGGCCAGCCTCGCGCTTCCACTGGGACTGGGAAGGAAGGAAGGAAGGAAGAAGGAAGGAGGGAAAGGTGCAAATCCACCTGAAAGTAGGAGGAAAGGGATGGGAAGAGAAGGGGCCAGGCCCGTCTCGCTCTTCCTCTGGGGCTGGGAAGGAAGGAGGAAGGAGAGTGAGGCTGTGCTTTGAGGGGAAGATGCACTTCAACCTTAAAGTACACTGAAGGAGGAAAGGAAAGGGGCCAGGCCAGCCTCACGCTTCCGCTGGGGATGGGAAGGAAAGGGGGAGGAAGGGATATGAGGCAGTTCCTCGAGGAAAAGGTGCATACCCACCATAAAGTAGACTGAAGGAGGAAAGGAATAGGAAGGGGGCAGGGCAGTCTCGCGCTTCCTCTGGGGATGGGAAGGAAGGAGGAAGGAATATGAGGACTTCCTGGAAGGGAAGGTGTAAATCCACCTGAAAATAGACTGAAGGAGGAAAGGAAAGGAATGGGAAGGGACCAGGCTAACCTCGCGCTTCCTCTGGGTCTGGGAAGGAAGGAGGAAGGGGTGTGATGGAAGTGCCTTGAGGGGAAGGTGCACATCCACCTGAAATGAAGACTGAAAGAGGAAAGGAGGTGTATGTGAGTGTGAGGCAGAAGGGAAGAAGGGAAAGTAGGAAGGAAAGGAGGGAAAGTAGGCAGGTGTATGTCAGCGTGAGGCAGTCTCCAGAGAAAAAGATGCACATCCGCTTGAAATTAAGACTTAAAGAGGAAAGTAAAGGAAGTGTATGTGAGTGTGAGGATAAGGTGCATAACGACCGGAAGAAAGGAAAAAGGGAAGGAAGGAAAAAAAGGAAGGAACGTAGGTAGGTGTATGTCACTGTGAGGCAGTGTCTACAGAGAAAGGTGCAAATCTACATGAAATTGGGACTGAAAGAGGAAAGGAAATGAGATGTATGTGAGTGTGAGGCAGTTCATACTAGATGAGAAGGGGCATATAGACCAGAAAGAAGGAAGGAAGGAAGGAAAAGAAGGACGAAAAGGAGGAAAAGTAGGTAGGTGTAAGTCAAGGGTAAGGCAGTGTCTAGAGAAAAAGGTTGCACATACACCTGAAATTAAGACTGGAAGAGGAAAGGAGGTATATATGAGTGTGAGGCAGTGCATAAGGAAGGATAAGGTGCATATCCACTGGAAGGAAGGAGAGAGGGAAGGAAGGAAGAAAAGGGGGGTAGGTAGGTGTATTTCAGTGTAAGGCAATGTCTAGAGAGAATGGTGCAAATCCACCTTAAATTAATACTGAGGCAGGATATAGCAAAATATCTCTTGTCCTGAATCACTGGGTTGCTGTGAGTTTTCCGGAATATCTGGCCATGTTCCAGAAACATTCTCTCCTGACCTTTCACCCACATCTATAACAGGCATCCTCAGAGGTGAGGTTTGTTGGAAACAAGGCAAGTGGGGTTTATATATCTCTGGAGTGTCCAGGGTGGGAGAAAGCACTCCTGTCAGAGGCAAGTGTGAATGCTGCAATTTGTTGACTTGAAAAGCCTATCAGGGGAGGTTTAAATATCTGAAAACAGGGGAATTCCAGGCATGAAACAATTGGGGCCAGCTAACACCTCCCAACAAAGGATTCCTCCAGGCAGGAATCAGCCAGGCCTTAAAGCTGCAAGGCTTTGCAGTGCTAATCAAGATGATTAGTTACAGCGTTCACACTTCTCTCCAACAGACCAGAGTTCTTTCTCGCACCCTGGATCTATATAAACCTCCTATGCCTAATTTCCAACAGATCTCACAACCTCTGAGGATGCCTGGCATAGGTGTGGGTGAAACGTCAGGAGAGAATGCTTCTGGAACATGGTATAGACCGAAAAACTCACAGCAACCCGGTTTCTTATACTGTTATTCCAAGGAAGGAATCATAGAGTTGGAAGACATCTCATGGGCCATGCAGTCCAAGCAGGAAAATCGCATTCTAAGCACCCCTGACAGATGGCCATCCCGCTTAAAAGCCTGAAAAGAAGGAGCCTCCACCAGGGAAAGAAGGGAAAGAATGGGGCCAAGTAAGCCTCACTCTCCAGGAGGTAGAAAGGAGTCCAGGAAAGGGGAAAGAGGAAGGGAAGAAGAGAAGGAAGGTGAATGTGAAACCGTTCATGATAGAGAAGCGGTGAAAATCCACCTGGGATTCCTGCCAAAGCGGGATGTACTCTATTTTGGATCGTTATTCCAAAGAAGGAGGAAAAGGAAAGGAGCGGGGAGGGAGTCGGTTTTCCCTGAGTTGCTGATGGAGGGAAAAGAGTGGGATCCAGAGCAGGAACGAGGAGGGAATGTACTTCCAAGCGAGAGATGGAAATCAGATAAACCAGAGCCACTGTCATTTTGGCTGCCGCCGCTGCCGCCGTTTTGGCCGAGCCTGGAGGGCGGCAGACTGGGCGGCGAGTGACACCGGAGAGGATTCCCCTTCCTGCCTTCCTTCCTTCCTCTCTCCCTTCTCTCTCCACATTTACTAGAATCTCGCTCTCAGTGCGGTTTAAAGCCAGAGCGGGAAGGAAGAGTCACCTCCTCCCCCGCCTCCGTTCTCCATTATTGCTCTTGACCCATTGTGGGCTCTGTGGAGAATGGAGGAGAGGGGACTGGCACAGAGGGTAAGGAGCCTTTCCTTCCCTCCCACTTCCTTGTGCGCCCTTCTTCAAGGCTACTTCCTTCCCCCTTGATTTCATTTTCCTTCTCCCTCCGGCTAGCTCTACATTGTGCCAGAGATTGGGGTTCGAACTGCATTATATATATGGGAGCGGAGATCCAGCCTCAGAATGAACTAGGCTTTTCCCTTGGCTTGTCAAAAGAATGGGACTGAATAGCCCTGGTGGTCTTTCTCAGTACAATCCCTTGAAAATGTGGTTGCTTCACTTGTGTGGGCTGGTGGGAAAGGCACTTTGGAAATCTTGGCTTCAATCTATTACGACAGCGGAGCCACTGGATCCATTAGATTGGTTTGTTTCCCCCTGCAACGAGGGATCCATAACGCCGCTTTAACTGCCAAGGCTCAATGCTGTAGGATCCTGGGAGTTGTGGCTTCTCAAGCTCTTTGGCTTTCCTCGCCAAATTGGGCTGGTTCCTTTTGAGGATCAGAACTGTTAGGCTCAAAAAATAACCCTCACTTGGAGTGATTCCACCATAAATATAGCAGAGTGCCAGAAGCAGACTTCATAACCAGCAGAAACTTACCTGTAGTGATTCAGGATTGTCTTCCATTCAATAGGATGGTACAGGGTTGCACAGACAGAACTTTAGGTTCAAAATATGTATTGAAGTAAAAAAGAAATCATTTCTAGATAGGAATAGGAAGCTAATTAGCTTCCTAAGCTCATCTTCTAAGGAAGGTAAGAAGGATAAAGTATCAAAAGTGTCAGTGCAGCTACATTTTGCCTGGAGAAAGGCAAAATGCATCCTCACTGGAAGGGAGGCAAAGGCAGAGAGGGGCAATGGAGAATGACCACATGGCCAAAACCCAGGACAATAAGAATACCTTTAAAGAGGAAGTTACTTCATCCCTCACAGAGATTCCATTGCAATTTGCTACATCTTCAAAGGGGGGAGGAGACAGTGGCTAGCAAGAAGAGTAAAGACAAAGCCCCTTCTGGGAAAAGCATGCATAGTAATGTGAGGAAAGGAATCCCTCTAATCCTA